AAAGTGTATATGACAGAGGAGGCCTGCTTTGAGAAGTAATGTTTGAGTCCTAAATGGTGCTTGATTGAAATGGGATATTGGGGTTGGCAGGGGAAGGTAGTGGAATCGTTAAGTGTGATGTGAATAGGTGTGTGATGAGAGGCCAAAGCAGGTGAGGAAGTGTCCCATACTTGGGGATTGACTTCAGAAGCAGAAAACGGAGGGTTGGATTTAGTTACAAGGGAGAAAGCAGGGGTAAGAATGAAAATGGTGAGGAAACGGGGAAGTAGAGAGAGGGAGAGTTTTTGCATGAGGTCCTGACCCAAGAGAAGGGCTGAGCAGGGGAGTGGAAAAGGGAAACATCCCAAAAGCGTGCATAAGATTGGTGCAGAAACACAAGGAGAATGGAGATAGCCATCTACATATACCACAGAGACCCCCAAAGGGTAAGTTTTGCCAGAGTAGGATGGCAGAACCAACCACGTGGATGAAGATCAGCCTACCTGCCACCCGGACTGTGACCCTGGGCTCCTCCACAGTGATATGGAGAGAACTGCCAGGACCTGAGTTCCCAGGGTAACTCAGTCTTCAGCTGCCAGGCCCAGTTTGTTACCAAGCGGTTCCTGTGGAGTTTGGAGGGAAGGGGCTGGCCTACCTTGAGGAGGAAGAGACAGTCAACCTTCCAGTGTCCTCTGAGTTCACAGTGGGGACATGATCCCAGTGGTGGTGGAGAGGGGCAGGCTTTGGCCCAGTCTCTGATGTTGATACACCTGAAGCAGGGTCCTGGTGGCTGTCATTGTGACCTCAGAGTCTTTGTAGAACCCCAGAGGCTGCAGCAAGTAGGTGGGCACTTTTGGGATCCCAAGCTGTTCTAAGGTCAGTTGCTGATCCTCCCCACCATTAAAAACTTTAAATGCCATTTCCAGCAGGTCTCCCTGGGGGTCTGAGGCCTCTTCTCACATCTCTTGGTCTTATTATGACTATCTGGGGTAGACTGAGCTATGCAGTGGGAGTTGAGAACCAGAATGCCTTTGGGAGAGTTAGGATCTAAGCAGGTATGCTCAAAGAGTGTCTCAGTCAAGCAGCCCAGAAACTTTGCTGGGTTTTCAGTGGAGCCCGGGTAATGGTGCACAGTTTGTCAAACATTAACCACCTTGTCTTTTTGGTTGTGAGCCTGGGTCTTTAACGGCTGCGCCAGCTACCTTGCCCCTGTGGTGGGTGGCGCACGCCTTTAATCCCAGTACTTGGGAGGCAGAGGCAGGCGGATCTCTGTGAGTTCAAGGCCAGTCTGGTCTACATAGTGAGTTCCAGGACAGCTGGGGCTACAGGTTGACCCTGTCTCAAAAAAGACAAAAAAAAAATTAACTACCTTGTGAGCAGCCACCTGGAAGCCTGCCAGGACAACCATCTAGTCCCTTGCTTACCAGGGGAAGGAGGTTGAGGTCACCAGCAGTGGGAATAGGAACCTGTTTTATCTGATTAGGATCATCCCTAGGGCCTTCCACTCCCATAAGGTAGGTAGGTCTATAACAGCAGGGGCCTGAACAGCAACCCAGACACATTCTCATTCATTAGGGGTTAAAGTAGTGCATGCCAGGTAAGACCAGAGGTTTGGGTAAGGAAGTTAAATTCTTTAGTGTCACTAACTGGATCAGTGGAGAAGGAACACAAGTGCTGTTCAGTTTGGGAAAGATGAAACATAGTAAAAGGGATATGAATGTGAATGGTTATTTCTGCCTCCCCTCACTTCACACAGAGGGAGAAGTCTGCAAGAGTGCCCATGGATATGACCTAGTACGTTGGGCAGTGGGGAGAGGAGGAGGAAGACAGGGATGGAGCAGGCAGGTCAGCGGGAGCGGGGACCTGAGCTGGAGTTGGAGGGGCTGAGGCTGTGGGCAGATCCAAGTCCTCAATGGTGAGAGTCAAGGGCAGACTGGTAAGGTGGGGGACTGGGCTTCAGTAGAATCTAGTGGGTGTGGCACGCGGTACCGAGGAAGAGATAATATCAGAGGGCAAAGAAAGCTTGGATATAGGGCACCTGAGACCACTTTCCCATGCCATGGCAGAAACGGTCAAATTCAGCCGATTTATACTGTGGCCAAGCCGTATTACAGTAAGAAATTAAACAGCTAGGCTTACTATCGCCTTGAAGTCCCAGAGGTTGCAAATTCTTAAGGAGACAGGTCAGAGGAGTGATGGGGAAACCAGGAAAGAGGAAGAAAAATTGCAGTGACAAGGACAAAAGAAAAGCTACAGGAAGAAAGAGGCTAAGCAAGGGCCTGAGTCAGCAAGCAGCCTTTATCTGTATTTTCTACTTTGACGTCCCTAAAAAGTGGACTGTGACTGGGAGCCTAAAATGAAATAAATTCTTTCCTCCCCTAGTTGCTTTTGGTCACTGTTTTATCACAGCAACAGAAATCAAACTGAATAGTCATCCTAGAATTCCCCCTAGGAAAATTCCACTCTCAAATGGCTCGGCCTTGGTTGCCATAGCACTTAGAGCAGAGAGCACGAAACTACCACTACAGCAAATAGGCACACTATTTCATCACATAAGCAAGACCATACCAGAGCTGACCAGATGGACACTCCACCCTCACACGTATCAGCCTCAGATGTATATCTTATTACCCACGGCAGCGGTCATGCAACCAATGCGTCTTTAGTTGTCGCCCCGTTTGAGTGCCAATTGTGTTGTGTAACTTTTTCGGTGGAGATGTAAACAAATGTTGATAGGGCACAAAAACCAGATCAAAGAAACAAGTCCTTTAATCCTAGCCCCGTGAACCAGGGCATTACTGGGAGTTACTTACACAAGTATGGGTGACTCAAAGGCAGCACCACCGCCAGAAAGCCTATCCTAGCATGAGTGATGGCTCAAGAAACTGCATTCTTGGGGTTGTCTGATTTATTGGTAGCTCTATCCACAAGTCTTTTTAGCAGTAATTATTTACTTCTTAACCTAGTGGATGGTCCCTAAAAATTCTGAGTCTTCCTGTTTTGTTAGCTTCACCTTTCCCAATGTCAAACAGTACACCCCGGTTCCCTCCAGGAGGGAAATTTCTGTTCAGAGGAAACAGCTACAGAACAAATGTGGAAAAATATGTTCCCAGAATGTACTCAACAGACGGACTAGTGTTGAGAGCATGGATTGTCTGCGTTCAAATCTGGAGTCTACTATTATTAGCCAAAGAACTCTGGCAAATGACCAATGTGTGTCATATCAACGTGTCATATTAGCTTCTTCATTGGTAAACTGTGGAAAATAACAGAAATACTGATGCTCATCCAGAGCACTCAAGTTACTTATAAGGCATTCCTGCTTGCAGAATCTCTGTGTTTGACTATTTATTACCAATGCATTATAATACTTTGCTATGTGAAATGTAGTTCTTACATATAAAGGAACTATTCACATGAAAACACCAAATTCTGTATGCACTTAGTTACAGCACTTCAAAATAAATTTTAAAATGACATAATTACAAAAATGTTAATCCATAATCATAATGTAAGACTACGATAGCCCTATCACAAAACTGTTTTAAAAGAAAAATGGTACATACCACAAAACAGACTGTGTTAATGTGCATATATTCTATATCAACATATAAGAAAATAAGCATTGTTCTCAAAAAAACATAGATATTATTTGACAAACTATAAGAAAATATGCATTGTTCTCAAAAAAACCATAGATATTATTTGACAAACTAATGGGTTTACCAGTTAGATACTGTATTCAGCTGGAACGTAACATCACCTCAACAACGAACAGTAAATTACTTTGGCTTCAACCAGTGAGGAGTTACAAATCTTAAGAGTAGGTGGTCCAGAGCTCCTAGAGCCAATCAGAGACTTTAAGGAACCTAAATCATTGTGAATTTTGTGTTCCACTGTTTCTCTCACCATGAAAAAAAGAACAAAACCAAACACAACTAAAAACACAACTAAAAATACAACTGTCATAGTCCAGATCTTGAAGTCACTTTTCAAGTGCAAACGGAACAGAAAATAGGTGAGAATAAATCAAGTTGTCCCTCCAGCCTCTCAAGTAACTTCTACCTAATTTTCATGGCCAGTCTGTTTGGGATTAAGGAAATTCTGGCAGATTAATATTGCTTACAGACTTTAAATAAATAGGACAAAATGGACAACGGTAGGCAAAAAGTACTTCTCACAGTAGGGCAGCCAGAGGAAAAGGGATCAGTATCATGAAATACCATATTCTGACAAAAATACTAACTTTGAAAAAAAGTATCACAAATAACACCCAATTTCCATTATGATAAAACATTCAGGAGCCATTCACAAATTCCTGAATATGTAAAAAGCTGTTTTTTATTTTTTCATTTTTTGAGATACAGCTTCCTTGTAACCCCAGCTGGCCTTGAACACATTATGTAGACCAGACTGGACTCAGTCTCATCAAGATCCACCCGCTTATGCCTTTCAAGTTCCGGGATTAAAAGCATGAACCACCATGCTCACAACAGAAATACTTTTAGAGAGCAAATTATTATTTCTTTGTAAATTTTTGAGACCAACTCTTTCTTTATAGGATGGGACTGAAATCACAATCCTCCTGCTTCAGCCTTCTGTGTCCTGGGACTAGGGGTGAATGCTATCAAAGACCAAATTATAATCACATTGCATTTTGCTTTGTTAAAAGCATGAACCACCATGCTCACAACAGAAATACTTTTAGAGAGCAAATTATTATTTCTTTGTAAATTTTTGAGACCAACTCTTTCTTTATAGGATGGGACTGAAATCACAATCCTCCTGCTTCAGCCTTCTGTGTCCTGGGACTAGGGGTGAATGCTATCAAAGACCAAATTATAATCACATTGCATTTTGCTTTGGAAATACTGGCTTAAAAGCTTTTTTTTTTTTTTCTTTGTTGTGCTATTTCTTTTTGTTTTATATCTTTTGTGCCATTTATTTTTGTTTTCTATCTTTTGCTCTTAAGTGATCCCACCTCCCATTTTTCTGTTTGGAAAACTTACTCAGGTTTTTTTTTTTTTTTCTTTTTTTTTTTTTTGAGGGAGAACAGATAACACACACACATTTACAAAAAAACAAAGGTTGAACGTCAATAAACTAGTAGTCCAATAACATGTTGGTAGATTTAACTCCATATTCATACTTTTCGTTCCCAATATAAATTACTACATAGTCACTCAGCTGAGAGCTGATGTTGAAGCATTTGCACAGACTCCTTTCCTTTCCTAAGATGTCTCTTTGTGTGCTTAAGAGAGGAATCACAGTAAATATTTTTCTTAACATCAGAGGCATCCTTGAAGGCTCTAATGTCTATGGCATTCAAGGGGGCTTAACGGAATACTTTCTCACATCTCTTTAAAAAAGGATTTGTCATTATCACCACAGACTGAGAACTTCACAATCTTATAGGTGATTATGTGAACAACTGTGCTGCACGGTTTTCTGAAATTCTTTCCTGAGTGGTCCTCAGTTCTGATTCCACACGTTACTGAAAGAACTGGCATCACTGAAGGCTTGCTAATCTGGATTCCATTTACCAAGTTTTCCCTAATAATTGATCTTTGGGGCACATTACAATGAGTGAACCAAAAACTTTATCACATAGATTTCTCTGCAGGGATTAATTTACTGAATGTTGTTTCATACTGATTAAAATGATGAAGGTCTACTGAAAGCGTCTCTTCATTAACTTCATGGCAAATTTTGCAGACAATTCACAATGAGCTGCCTCCCAGTCCTCTATCTTATGCAATTTTCTCCCACATTGTATTACAACTGGTCTATGACTGGTACAATAGAGACGTGAAAATACATCCTTCTGAGGCAAAGTCATTAAAAGAAACTACATTTTTTTCCACTGGCTTCCCTTGGATCACTTGCTTTTGGGGGCTGTGCCATATTGGGAAAATACTTAGTCCTATTAGAGGCCTACACAGTGAAGAACTGAAGGTCTCCTGTCAACAACCAGTATAAACTCCTAGGCACATGAGTGAGCCATCTTATAAGTGGTTCCTTCATCAGTAACAACTTGAGAAGACTGGAGCTCTGTCTAATGTCCTGAGTGTAGCCTTCTGAGAAATCCTTAGGAAGCACTACAGAGCTGCAAAAGTACTTAGTGACCTGTAAAGTGCGAGATAAACATTTCTTGTTTGAAGCCACAAGCTTTAGGAGATGATTTATTATACAGCAATAGATAATACGAACAAATGGTGTAAGTTCTCTCAAGTTATCTTAGGGACAGCAAGTGCCTTCCCATATATTTTCACAGTATTTTCTCAAGGTTAAGTCATATCCACCTGTTATGCATTCTTTTGTGCACAGAGAGGTAAGAGTTACTGGTGAAAGATTTTCCACAGTGGTTACATTCATAGGGTTTTTCTCCAGTGTGAGTCCTTAAGTGCTTCTTAACAGCTGAGAGATTATTAAAGGCTTTCCCACAGTCACTGCATTCATAGGGTTTTTCACCTGTATGTATTCTTTTATGCACAGTTAGAGAAAAGCTGCTGCTGAAGGACTTCCCACACTCATTACATTCATAAGGCTTCTCTCCTGTGTGCGTTCTTAAGTGCTGTGTTAGATATGAGCTCTTCCTGAAGGTTTTCCCACAATCATGGCACTCATATGGTTTTTCCCCAGTATGAATGCTATTATGTCCTGTGAGGGAGGATCTTGTACTGAAGGCCTTTCCACATTGAGTACATTCATGGTGATTCTCTCCCGTATGGATTCTCTTGTGGCTTTTCAGGTTACAGCTGGTACGGAAGACATGAAAACACTGGTTACATTCATAGGGCTTTTCCCCAGTGTGAATTCTTACATGAAGTCTGAGGGATGAGGGATCACTAAAAGCTTTCCCACAGTGATTGCATTCATATGGTTTCTCCCCGTTATGAATTCTCCTATGTATAGTAAGGTAAGATCTGCTGCTGAAGGATTTTCCACATTGACTACAGTCATAGGGTTTTTCTCCAGTATGAATCCTCTTGTGCTGAGTAAGGTTAGATTTTGTGCTGAAGACTTTAAAACACTGACTGCATTCATTGATTTTCATCCCACGATGACTTCTTTCCTGTTGATAACAAGTAAATGATAACTATAATTTATACTATTTTAAAATCTCATGCTATGATAAAATTCTTTCTCAGAAAAATCTATGATATGATAATTGGGGTTTTGGCTCCTTTCAGTGTTTACATGTAGCTCCCGTCTAGTTTGAACCCTTGGAACTCAAAAAAAGATAGATGCTTGGCTACAAGTTCTTATATTCAAGGAAAATTTTCTGATAAATTTAGGACCATTTATGTTTCAAAGAGCCAATATGTGATTCACATTTAATAAATATAATCTTGTAGGAACTCTCATTGAAGAAATATGTTTGAAGTTAGCTTAATCTTTTCTCTAAAATTATCATAGTTCACAGAATCTCTTCAGGAACATCATTTCCTCAACTTTTAATGACACTTTCCATAATGGCTAGCTGGGTTCTCTGTCTAACTTATGGAATTTTCCTACTATGGAAAATGAAAAACCATTACTTTAGGCCTTACCGTTTTTCCTCCTTCATCCTGTTCATTTCTAAAGATATGTTTTTTAGGAGTTAGCCATTTAACTTTAAGTATAGTCTCCAAATCTGAAACAAATTAAGAAGCAATAGATCAGTAGAGGAAAAAAATTGGTGACGTGCACAAATGAGTCAAGGAGGACTCTGAAAGGTCAGAATACTTGAGTAGACTAGAAATAAGGGTGAACTGGTTCTAGAAATTTTAGGTATTAAGTTAAAACAAAATTAGATTGAGACTGGTAAGAGACTCACAAAAGGGAATTATCAGCAATGGAAATTGTGACAAGTTTTCGGATTAAAAAAAAAATGTGTGAATGTTTGTGTACCTGCATGTGGGTATGTGTATGTATGTGCTGGTGCCAACAAAGAAAGGGGTTGCCTTCTCCTGGAGTTGGAATTACAGGTCCAACTATCTGGTCGTTAAGCTATCTGTTATGGGTGCTGGGAACTCAATCCACATCCTCTGCCAGTATAATATGCACTTGGCCTGGAGAGATGACTGAGTGGTTAAGAGCACTTGCTGTTCTTTCAGCAGACCCAGGTTCAGTTCCCAGCACCCACATGGTGGCTCACAGCTGCGTCTAACTCCAGTTCCAGAGGTTCTGATACCCTCTTCTGGTCTCTATGGGCACTGTGCATATGTGGTCTACTTATGCATTTGCAAGCAATTCATACATATAAAATAAAATTTTAAAATCTTAAAAACATACAAAAAGAATAGTATGCACTCTTCATCAAGCCATCTCTCCAGTCCATAACTTAAAATATAAAATGAAAAGAACTGCATCTTGGTTTCTCAACAAGACAAGGAATGAGATGATGAAAACAGAGTTCAAGAGAAAAGTGACAACAGAAGAGGAGCTCTTGCCAAATGTCCATGTCCATCTTCGTCAGAGATAAAGAGCACTTTAAGGTTTCCTGATTGCCAGCAATTACTTTAGTACTTCAAAGAACTGCTTCCCTAGCCACAGTTACTCCTCAGGACGGTTCATATCCACCTGGTGCTCACCTGGACAGATGCCTGGGAGAATTCCTCTCTCCTCTGTCATAGCCTTGTCTTCTTGTTCCAACTGGGATATTAGATTGGGTTTATCAACAAGGTGCCCTATTTTTGGAGAAAATATATATAATATAGGAAGACTTGTTTAAGGGATAAGCAACTCCATAAAACTAAAGCCAATACTTCAGAAGATGAAGGAATGATTTTAGGAGGAGTGGAATATTCTAAATTTCATTGCCTACAATAACTTTAACAAGGAACAAAAATGTAAGTATCCCTTCATCAATATTCTAAATAGTAATAATTTAAATCCAAAATGCCCATTCCTAAATTCAAACATATACTTCAAAGCCCCAAAAAATTTAACCATGAAGAATAAAAAGTTGGGGCAAGAAATTGATATTCATATCATACAGAAGACATCAGACAGACAGTTCCATGAAAATAGGGACTGTATCTGTCTTATTTACCACAGTGTTCCCAAATCCCTGACAGGATCTAAGGATATAAAGGTGCTTATGAAAGCCTTGAAAAATGTGACAATAAAAATAGCGGCTCACAGAACTCAAAAAGCTGACAGGACAGTAAATAAACTTGCAAAAACTGTGCCACTTTTCTGAATCTCTGAAACTTTAAGAGACTTATATACATTAGTTGAATGCTTAGTTATGGGAAACCAAAACAAAACAAAAATTGAAAAAAAAAAACAGTTGAACCTGAGTAAAAGAGTTTCAAGTTATTTTTAAGTGACTCACACCTATCCTTTCTTTATTTTCGTCATGTATTTGAAGAAGGCAGCAAACACTGTTATTCCTAGAGGGAACAGAACTGAACTTATTTGGTGTTTCCTTTTGACCTACAATGGGACTTCTTGCAGGACTGGCTCAAAGGACATCTCTTTATATGCTTAACTCTGAACTCTCAGAACTGATATGGATACATGAGACACACAATAAACACATTTAAAGGTCAATGTATTAGTACCAAAGACAAGATAAAACAGTACACACAAGCAAAATTAGCACTAACCAAAAAGCCTAGGCAGAAAAGGAGGGGGAAAGATGTGTGTGGGGAAGGGCATTGAAAAGATTTCTAATGTTCCCATACGCATATCCAGGTGAGAGCACACACAGAGAGAAGGCTTTAGAAGGCTAGCACTCTTGGTTCAACTCAGATTCTGCACAAACCACAAGTGAAGGTGAAGGCAGAAATGAAAGCTGCCCAGCTTAGTTTTAGTGTTTACATGTCCTTATGTATATATAAAGCCCATCTGAAGTGACTGAGGGACTTAAGTTCTTGGTTCTCGGCCTTCAAAGAAATATGTGACAAATTACTAATGACTACTAAGCTAAAAAGAAGGGACTACAATGGTAACAACTGATATACTAGAAAATTAGATTTGAAACATTAATAATAGTATATACAATGATAACATGGAACCATGACATATCCTGGAAACTGAAAAAATCTGATTCCAAAATTGCTGCACAAGTTGAGCAAACCTAATTTAAAACCTGAAATACTCCAAAACCAAAATCTGCTTAAATTTTTTTTATTCTTGTGAATTTCATACATGTATATAATGTAATAAAGTCATATTTCCCATTTTCCTCTTTAATTTTCCTCATATCACCCTCAAAAACTATCCCTACAAATTTTGTGTCCTTCTTAAAATAATCCACTAAGTCCAACCAGTCCTGTCCATATATGCACAGGTGTGGGACCTTCCCCTGGAGCATAGGGAGCCTACTAGGGGCCATATCTTCAAAAAAGAGTGATTCTCCCTTCCCCAGCAACTATCAACTGCCACTAGCTTCTCAGCAAGATGTGGGGTCTAGAAATCATCTATCTCCACCATGTAGGAATTTTGATTGACTTGATCTTGTACAAATTTGTTCAGGTAACCACTGCTGTGGTGAGTTCATGAGTACATGTCATGTCATGTCCAGAGGGCAACATTTCACAGCACACCTCTCCATCCTCCAGTTCTTACATTCTTTTCGCTTCCTCTTCTGTGATGTTCCCTGAGTCATGATGGTGGTAGGGTTAATACAGATATACCATTTACAGCTAAGCACTGAATTTCTTACTTTCAGCACTTTGATTGTTATGTATCTCTCCATTCATTGCTGCCCACTGCATAAAGAAACTTCTCTGACCAAGGCTGAGAGCAGCCCAGGTCTATGAGTATAAACATATTTAGAAGACACTCTGAAAGCATGAACATTTAGAAAAATAACATAGTATGTTTTACCCAGGACCTAGCATCTCCTCAGCCATGGGCTTTTACAGAATAATGCTGATATTTATTTATGTATTTTTTTTTTAAGTATTGGGCTTCAGCATGTTACACATTTGGGATATTCAGTCAGTAAAGTCTATTCAAATATTCTTAAAAATTCAAATCTGAAGTATTTCTGGTCCTAAGCAATTCAGATAATGCATAATTCTAAATTTCTAGTATATATCAAAATGATTATGAGGCAAGCAAGGAAACCAAAGTATGGCTTAGCTTAAGAAATTGGTAGAAACTGTCCCTGAGCAAGCCCAAACACTTACTAGAGGAAAAAAAGTCACTTAAAGTGTATTTAAAGACCCAAAGGAAAGCACACGAATTGAACTAAAAGAAATCAAAGAGGGTAACGTCATTACATCGAAAAATATCATAAAGTGACAGAAATTATTAAATAAAGAGTAAAAGTCAGAAATTTTAAGGTTGAGAAGAGGTGAAATTAAAAATACAGAGGAGATTCAACATCAGATCTGAGCAAGTAGAAGAATTTGTGATCATGAAGGACAACTGATATATTATCTAGTCTGAAGTATAGAAAAAGAACAAGGGGAAAACAGCAACAACAAAAACAAGCCTAAGAAAATCAGAAATAACTACAGTCTGTGAGAGACAATCGAATACAGCCAACACAGACACAATGCAGATGTAGAGCTGCAAGAAGAGGAAGAATACATGAAATAATGGCTGAAAATCTCCCCAAACCTGAAGAGACAAAAATGTACTAATCCAAGATGTTCAATAAACTCAAGCAGAATAGACACGGACAGAAACACATAATCAATCACCAAAAGACAAAGACAGTATCTTAAACGTAACAAGAGGAAGTAGGAATCTTTACATACAAAGGATTCTCAGGCAGGGTAACTGCCAGTTTCTCATCAGAAACCACAGAGGCATTGGGATGATATAGTTAAAGAGGTGAAAGAAAAAAATGTGAACCACTCCAACATTCAGGGGGCTGAAGCAGGAGGCTCATGAGTTCAAGGCATACCCAGGCTACACAGCAGTCTGAGGCTAACTTGAAATATATAGTATGACCTATCTACAAGAAAACAGGAGGAATGAAGACATTTCTGTATAGTACAGTCATCTGTCACTTCAGTACATCTACCCAAAACAATGCTAAAAGGCAAATAATCTAATCAGTAAGTAGGCACAAATTAACTGTATAATTTTCAAATGAAAAAGTATAAATGGCTGCTAAAGGAGATGAAAAAATGTTCCAACATCTGTTCCAAAAGATGTTCATTCATCAGAGGAATGAAAATTAAAGTACACTGAGATTCTATTTTATCCTGGTCAGAAAGGCTATACTCAAGAAAAAAGACTCAAAGTCAGCTTACTGCAACTATCTACATGTCTATATTTATCATTGTACTGTTCATAATAGGCAATGCATGATATTTAGTGTCTATTAATACATAAATAAAGAAAGAAATGTATGTATTCAGCCATAAAAGCAAAATTATATCATTTGTAGGAAAATGGACAGAACTGGACATCATCATGTTAAGTGCTATAAGCCAGACTCATGTAGGCAAGAATCACATTTTCTTTCATATTTGGAATCTAAGAGTGTAAAACTGACATAAAAGTAAATAGATACTTAGGATGTAGAAAGGGGAGGGCACGGTGGGGGAGGAGGTATGACAGGAGAACAAAGGACTGAGTAGCATCAAAGTATATTATATACATGACAGGAAATGGCATGGTGAAATCCACTACTTTGTTCAGTTAGTACATGGAAACTAAAACAAAACAAAACAAAACCACTAATAACAGCTTCACCAAACAATCATAACAATACTAGTAATGCTGAAGGGTGACTGTCAGGCTAGAACAAACAGAAAATAGATAATAACTACAATTTACACAAAGAACTACAGAACGCCAATAAAGCAAGTACTGAAGTAAACAAAGTCAATGACAGGCTGGAGAGATGGCTCAGTGGTGAAGAGCACTGATTGTTCTTGCAGAGGACCCGGGTTTGAATCCCAGCACCTACATGGTGGCTAACAGCCATCCATAATTCCAGTTCCAGGGGACCCGATGCCCTCTTCTGGCCTCCATGGGCACTGCACCACATAGGTACACTTACATACATGTAAGCAATACACTCATACACACAAAATAAAAATTAAATTTTTCTTAAAAATTCAATGACAAGGAACAAGTCAATTTTTGTTTGCAACTCCTTTTTTCCTACATGATTTAAAGTCAAATGCCAAAACTGGTTTATTACAAGGAACACACAATATACAAATTTATATAAATACGTAATTTATGAAGAAATGACTCGGGAAAGGGAAAGCCATTTATAGGCAAAGTGTTTTATACTAATGAAAATAAAATGATATTCATTAATACTAGGCCATTATAAATTAAATTATTAATCATAATCACCACAGCAACTAAGAAAGTAACTAAAAGAAAACTAAAAAGGAATGATAAAGAATCTAAATGGCTCATAAGAAATAACACAAAAGAAAACAATAATGAGGAAATGAAAAACAAAAATGATATGACATATAAAACATTATAGCAAAAGGTTACCAAATTATAAGTCAGCAGAAGTAGGACTCTGTCATAATTACCCTTGATGAAAATGGATTAGATGCCAATGAAGATAGAGTTTTATACACCGGACTTAGAATATAATTGAGTTACATGGGATCTATGAAACTTAATTTATTGCCAGACATGTATATGTTGAAAATGGAAAGCTAGAAAAAGGTATTTTAGACAAGCAGCCATGAAAGGAGAAAAGCTGTGGCTATACTAGTATCGGGCAAAATGGACTTCATGACAAAAA